AATAAGATTTAAGTGACAATTCAGTGTAGCAGAATATATGAAACAGAATCCCAATTAATTTCTCTTCATGTTAAAATCTTAACATGATATATCTTGGACAGCCCCCATCTATCTTAACAATGACCACATCTTTAAAAAATATGAAAGAAATCTAAGTATTTATTATGGACATTGTATTTAATTTTCTAACATAGTCTACAAGACGATAACAAATATATTCATATCTGTGATAACAATAGTCATTCTTCTCCCTACATCCCTCTCAAACTATCTCGAGAGGATTAACCATTAACCTGGAACAATTTTTAATAACTGATATTTTGAATTGTATTTGAGTTCATTTCTGAAGGGTAGGTAATTATGGTAGTGTAGACATTAAGAGAGAGCCTGACAGTTCATGAGAACTCTAATTACATGGACATTGAATGAAGTTGAGCCCTTAAAGGAAAAGCATGTCTCCCAACTTTAACTTACAATTTAATTTTTAGATCCCATCAATCTCTGTAGTGACAACTTTTAAAAATTAAGAATTTCATTTAAATGTATAAGTCTAAAGACATACTAAAAACAGCTTGAAAAGCTCATAGCTAAAAATGAATTTAGGGACATGAGAGCACACAGTAATCAGAATCACACAGATGTCTTTAGCCACCTGTAATCATTTCTTGGTAATCAAGCTAAGACCAATTAAATGTATTATAATAGATATACTACACTGAAAACACAGACCAGGTCTAAATATGAAATTAAGAAGAAACAAATATCAAGTGATTAAAGTCTGTTCGGTTTATACTGCTCCTCCTAAAGACTAGAGATAATTGTTTATAATGCCTCAGACAGATGACTATTACTGAATTAAATGTATTCATTTTCATACATTTCCTTGAAAAGCTAAATTTCACAATGAAAAACCAGACTTTTCAAACACAGGTATGCATATATTTGAAAGGCAGAAGTCCTTCAACAATGTGCCTTCAGATAGAAATTGTAAACAGAAGTCTAATCTGATAAAATAATAAATGGTTTATCAAAGCAGACAGTGCCAGATCTTTAAACGTGATTTATGTTTCCAAACATATGCTTAGCCACTGTGTGTGTGTGTGTGTGTGCGCGCGCACGCACGCACACACATAGTGTGTGTGTGGGGGGGGTGCTGTTAGAAATGTCATTAAATAGGTTGTCAAAATAAATATGAGTATATACATGTAGGTCTTGATTTGATGTTTCACATGTGTTTATTTTGATGACAAGAGCAGACAGAAGGGTTTAGAACCAAAGCCCAGTTTAAATCCTTTGATAATTAGGCATATGGTCATTCAGACTTCAAAGCAGTGATCCTGTTAGATCCCATTAGATTTAAGATGTCTACATGTTCCTACTGATAGGGACACAAATACAAGAAGGTGATGTACTAAGAGTCGCTGTCAAGTATGTGTTGTTTGCTGCAAGAGGTTTCTCTTGAGAATATCATGTCTAATAAGGCAAATTAGTTAAAGGTCATAACTATATGAAGTGTCCATTTTTAAAAGGACAATGAACACCTAACAGAGATATATAGCATCATAATTTATTTTACACAGTAACACAATTCTATTAATACTTCATTCCCAATCATTTTCTCGACTGTTCTTATTAATCACAAACACCAGGATTCTCTTCATCTGCCCATTCAGAAAGAATAAAAATACCCATTAGTTACTTCTTATCTCACCCCTTTCCTAAAATCCCGAAGGTTTTATAAGCTGTACAAGCTCTAGCTCTACTACATGAAAATGTTCCTGTTACAACTACTATTTCTAGAAACCAAGTTGGCATGATAAAAACATATTTCACTCTGACATAACTGTTCAAGCTGAAATGACTGCCCATTAAGTTAAAAAGTTAAACGCATTAAGTTAAACCTGTAAAACAAATAGAAGGTATCTCAAACAGTATCAGATTTTCCACCTTCACTACGTCTTTACTATTTTTAAATATAAAAATTGGGTAGAGTATCAGGTGATTTGTAAATAATATTTTTAAAGGAAAATTGCTTTGAACATGCTCCAGCAGTATACTCATGGTAAATTACCAACTATTTTAAGAGGTGACTAGCATATCATCAAAAAAGTAGTATTGCTGCCCATGAATTCCTATTATTACTTTGAATTAGGAGGCATTATGTTTCCAGGTACTTTAGGAAATTCTCATATTCGTGCAGTATCACACATCTCATATATATATATATATGAAGCAGTAGGGGAATCCATAAACTATTTAGGGTAAGTGATCCAGCTTACAGATCAATATAGCCCCCAAGTATTTTAAGCTGATATATCTGTTCTTCATATTAAAAGAGAGAACTTTTCACTTGTTAGAAACCACATGAAAGTATTCACCCAAAAATGATGTCATGTCCCAATTTACTTTCAGGTAAGGAGGTTGAGAGATGCCACATTTCAGGGTCTCTAAACTCATTTCTTCAATTCTGCGATGACTGTGTTAAAGAACACCAGCCAAGTTGTAAACTTGCAAAATGGGGCAAATTCAAGCAATAACATGAACTACAAAGAAACAGAAGACTCCTGTTTCAATATCCCTTCTACTAGTTCTCAATTACCATTCATAAAAAATCTAAATGAAACCTCCCAAAAAAGGAGTAGGAATGTGGAATTCAACTGTCGGCTCCTTAACACAGCTGGTAACTTGGAAGCCTATGATTCACTGCATGCTAATCAATCAACCAACAAGTTTTTATTAAGCACTTACTAGTTTCCCCACACTGTCCTAGGGACTACATATCTGAGACAGCCTCCATTCTCACATTCCCACTTGGGACTTTCTGAACTACAATTAATCTATACCAACAGCACCCTATAATTCCTTTGGAAAAGCTTTCTATTCTTCCTCTCCAAAGCGGATCTGAGATATAGTGCCGCTACTTAAGCAAGTAGCTTAAGCCCTGGAATGGGATAAGCATCACAGAAATGGTGAAATAAAAGCATTTATTTAAACTAGCAGGAGCAGCCAGGAAAATTCTCCATGGAATTGAAGGTGGATAGTGGCTAAAGGAAAGACATGACATCCTGGTTTGTAGCAAACAGTGCAGAGAAATGCACCTTTTTAATGTTCAAAGTCTGCCTTAGGCTATGCAAATTCTCCAAATCTATCCAATTCCTAAATCAAACGAACAGAGTTTCAATATGAAGGTTCTTACTCTGCAGGAGACGGGGGAAAAAAAACATAGAGATCGCGGGAGGGGGGTGCGGGGGAAAGAAAGATTAGTAATGTAATGCAAAAGTCATTCATTGAAGAAAAGGAAAGGATGTGGGTAATACAAGGAGAATGATCCCGGAAGGTGAGAGGTCCAAAAGTAAATAACCAATAGGTTGACCTTACTTTTCAGTATTCTTGAACCAGCAGGTTTCTTTAACACTAGAGGGCATGAACGCGAATGAGACAGAGAGAGAGACAGGGAGACAGCGAAAGAGAGACACAGAAAGAGAGAGAGAGAGAGAGAGAGAGAGAGAGAGAGAGAGAGAGACAGACTGACTGAGACTGAGGAAAGGCAGCTTTCACATAAAGCTGAAAATACTCAAGGAAACCAGAAATTTTAAGGGGGCTTTGGCAGCCAAGTTCCTTTAGCCTTGCGAATAAAACCTCTATGTTGTTATGCTGTTTCAGGGAAGGCTGACCACGATCTCTCCAAGGAAACCGCTTTCCTAAGCACTGAACACATAGTAGTTTAAGGTAGGCATACCTCAGTCCCCAAAAGCTCCTCTCCTCTGCTAGCAACATCTTTGCCTGAAGAAAGCTCCCACCCTTTCAAGCATCTATGTTTGCCTGTCCACTGTCCGTTCTCCTGCAGCTGGCTATAAAGGTTGGGGAGGTAGACTCTGCTCCTGGAAATTCAACTAACCACAGTCCAAGAATCGGGTATGCGGGCGGGGCTTGCGCAGCTTTCGCTGTCCAGAGTAGCAGCCTCAGTGCGCTCACGTTCGCGGCAGCGCAGCGCCCTCAGACCCGGCGAGGGGAGCCTACCGCGGCACCCTCCACTCTACGCCTTGCGCCCCTCATTCAGGTCCACAATAGCCCAGACAAGGTCAGGCCGTCTCCTCCGCGTCCCCGCTGACCCCAAACAGGAAAGTCTCTGCACCTGGAGATGCCCATTAGATAGGCCAGGGCTTGCTCCCCTAACCAAGACGCTTCAGGATCAAGGGGCTTGTGCTCGGGAAGACGGGGCAGGGAGATGACAGAGGGAGACAGAGATAAGCTGCGAGAAGCACACACAGAAAGAGAACAAATGCTGCAAGACGGAGAGACAAGCGGAAAGACAGATTAACAGGGACACAAACATCCCAAGAAAGGGGGAAATATAGAATAAGAGGGGGGAAAAAAAAAATCCAGATACATGGCCGGAGAGTGTGGACTGAGGGGACCAAGGCTCAGAAAGAGAAACAGAGGCAGAGACACACATGGTGAGAATGAGAGGCAGGAGGACTCTGAAAAAGCGAGGCAAAGGGGGCAGGATAGGAAGGCAACCGTCGAGGAAGACACCCAAGACCCAGGGAGCGCCTGGTGCCGGGTCGAGGAGAAACGCCCAAAACGCAGCCGGGGCTGCCTGTAGCTGGTGCGAGAAAGTTGCCTGGGCTTGGAGGCCGAGTCACAGCCGCCGCGGAGCGTCACCAGAACGCAGAAGAGGCCAGAGCCCCCCCAATTCAGTGGGGTAGCCGGAAAAGCAGAGCAGAAGGTGGGCGGCGGCAGAAAGTTCCGCGCCACGAGGTCCTCCCGCAACACCTGCAGCCGAGGGCGAGCGCACTCGGAGCTCCCGGGAGGCCGCCTCGCCAGGTCCGCCCGCGCCCCTGCCTTTGCCCTGGGACCGGCCCGGGGCGCTCGGCTCCGCGCCCTGGCACTCGACGCCTGGACTTTGCGGTATCTAGCCCCGGGACTCCGGCAGCCCAGAGGGAGCTCCTCCCAGACAATCAAGAGGAAAAGAGAGGAAGCGAGAAAGAGACGGACACCTGCTATCGTGGCCAACGATCCCGCGAAGAGGGAACGGCGGTCCACGCACGGGATTCAGCCTCCGATCAAGCCCAGCAGGCGCCGGCCGGCCGCGCCGAGTGCGGGTCTCGCCAAGCCCGCGCTCACCTGGAACCCGCGCCGGCCCGCGAGCGCCGCGCTCAGTCCCGGCTCCCGCTCGCGCCTCTCTCTTCACACTTCCCCGTGAGCAGAGGGAGCCGGCTCCGGCCTCTGCCAGCCCCAGAGAGGGGCCCTCATAGCGCAGCGGCGGGCTGAAAGGCTCCTCGAGCGCGGCCAGAGCGGACGCCGAGGCCGAGGAGGCGCCGAGAGCGAGCAAGGGCTGCTAGCACGTTGTCACCTCAGCAGAGCCGCCGCCGCCGCTGCCGCCTGGTCACTTCGCCCCGGCCCCCGCCCCCCTCCCACCCCAGCCCGCCGCCTCCCGGTCCCTCCTCCTCGCGTGGTCCCTCCCCCTCTCGTAGCCCCAGCCTGGAGGCCTCTCACTGGGCTAGTATCATTTACGTAACCAGCACCCCCAGCCTCCTCCCTCCCTGCTCCCGCTCCTCCCCGGGCTGGGGCGGTGCGCACCGAGCGCGCTCCAGCTGCTCCTGGAGCTGGCGCTTCTGCGATGTGCACAAGTCCCGCGATACTTGGCAGGCACGGCCCCCAAGAGCAACCGTGGGGTCAACTCCTCTCTCCGGAGGGCGCCTGCCGACCCCTGGCCGCCTTGGGGCCCCACAACGTCTAAGCCGGCCTGCGTGCACTGCGTTAGCCCAAAGCACCAGCAAGCCTCTTAGAGGGGAGCTGGAGGATCAGAGATTGCCCTCGGGGAAAGCGCCGGCAACCCCACCCTTGCCGTCGGCTCTCCAGCGGAGAGATGCTGCGGGGTACTTGAGGCTTCGGCGCCCTCGCAGAAAGGACGGAGGTTGGCCCCTTGTTGGTTACAGTATCTACACCCTGGCAGGATCCTAGTGTTCTGGTTGGCGGTGGCTACTGCCACCGAACGCACTGTAAGAGTACTGGGAACACAGCGCTTCCTTGTAGCTCTCAAATTTTTATGAAGCGGCAAAGAAAAAAGTGGGGCTTTGAATTCCTTTCTCAAGCAGTTAGGTATGGTATTAAACACACACCCACTCCGAAGTACCTGGACGTTTGCACGTCTAAGTTAATGTGTAGTACCAGTACCCCCATGGTACTGAGTTTAAATACATGTGAAGATTTTGGAACAGTGCCTGGCAGAAGGCAGAGACCTAAGACACAGGCATTATCAGCATCTGAAAGACTTGGGACCTGTCCCCCACTGCCATGGGAGAGGAACTTTTCTAGGAAATTGGGATTGCCGAGTTCAAGTGCCTGCTTGGCATTTTATTCGCTGTGGCTCTTGGCTAGTTTTGGCCCTTCGGGTGTCAGTTTTCTTGTTTGTAAGAACGGCTGACAGGGGTCCTTTCTTCTCACAGTGTCACTTCACATGTCTTATAGGATGTTTTTGGCAGAATTGGGGGAGGATATAACGGCTACATAAAAATATTAAGAGCCACGTTTGACAAACATATGATACTATTAATCATAATCTAGTATGTCAGTGGCATTCTTGATGATACTCATGAAAGGCAATTTCCAGAGATATTATCTTTATATCTTTTCATGAGTCAATTATCATTTAAATTTCTATGTTAATAACTGTATTAATGTCTCCTCCTACATTGTCCATCCTGCCCTACTGTCAATTATGGAGCATTTACCAGAGATGCTTCTGTGCATGTGTGAGTACACAGGATCCCACTCATAACACTCTGGAATTTCTCTCTACTGCTCCCTCTAGTGAATTACAGTCCTAACATCAGGTCACTTACCTCTACATGGTATACTGAGAAAAACTGTGGAGCAGGTAAAAGATTGAGGTTCTAATGCTGATACAGCTACTTACTAGTCATATGTTTTTTGAAGACAAATAAGCCCCCATTCTTACGTTTTTCATCTCTTAAAAAAAGGCGGCCGGGCGCGGTGGCTCACACCTGTAATCCCAGCACTTTGGGAGGCCGAGGCAGGTGAATCACGAGGTCAGGAGATCGAGACCATCCTCGATGGTGTCAGGCTAACACGGTGAAACCCGTCTCTACTAAAAATACAAAAAAATTAGCCGGGCGTGGTGGCGGGCGCCTGTAGTCCCAGCTACTCAGGAGGCTGAGGCAGGAGAATGGCGTGAACCCGGGAGGCGGAGCTTGCAGTGAGCCAAGATCGCACCACTGCACTCCAGCCTGGGCGACAGAGCGAGACTCCGCCAAAAAAAAAAAAAGGCCCAATTCCATCTTGCAATCTTTGTGATAATATTTAACTTAGGCAAGAATCATAAACTTGGTAGAAGTTATTTGGGTAATTGGATATTTACATAGTCCCAAAGTATCACCCTAGAAAGTATTGGCTTTTGGTGCATAACACACCATTCCAAAACTTATTAGCCCCAACCAATAAACATCTATAATTTCTCAAAGCTCTGTGGGTTGTCACGTTGGTGTCTTCCCTGGCTAGCTCAGTTTGGTTTAGAGACGTAGGATGGCCTCACTCACTTGTCTGATGTGGCATACTTATTAGTCTTGAGAGTGTGGGACTCAGCTGCAATGTTTGGTCTTTTGTTTAATCTAGGCCATCATCCTTCAATAGGCTAGCAGTAGTCGCAGTTGCAGGGCTCCAAAAAGCAACAAGGAAGTGCAAGCTCCAATGTGGAGCACTCTGAGAATCTGTGAACGTACATTTGCTAGTGTCTCATTAGCCATGGAAGTTACATGACCCAAACATAGATAATATAGTCCATGTCTTGATGGGAGAAACTATAATGCCATATTTCAGGGAGAATGCATACACAAATAAAAATAACTTGAGGCCATTTTTATAATATACTATAGATCCTTAATTACAAGAGAATAATAAATTGCATGTAGTGAATAAATCTGGTAAACATCACCTTAACCAACTGACCAAGGTTAAAGTCACCAATAATGGGACCAAGTGATATCATGAGCCTCATGATATGATGTACTGAGAAGTACATAACATTATTTAGGATTCCAGACAAAAAAATGCATACTTGAATGTAATCATGAGAAAGCAAAGACAGGCTCAAATTAAAGAAAATTCTACAAAATATCTTGCCTATACTTTTCAAAAATGTCACTGTGATGAAAGTCAAAGAAAAGCTGAGGAAGTATTCCAGACTAATGGAGATTTAAAAACCATGACTACTAAATGCAATGTGTAATCCAGAATTGGATAGCAAGCTGGGAGTAATATCTATTAATATAAAGAACATTATTGAGATAATCTAATTCAAAATATTAATAAAAACTATAACATCTGAACTGTAGGACTTTTATTTATAATAAAATTAGTTTTATATCAATATTAAATGTCCTAATTTAATTGTACTGTGATCATACATAAGAAAGCCCTTGATCTTTAAAAAGAATAATAAAATATTTTGAAATAAAAAGAACATAGAGGTTGTAAGGTCCAGAAATACCTATAGAGAGAATGATGAAGCAAATGTGGCAACTTTTTATAACACTATTGGTAAATTTTGGTGAAGGGTGTATGTTAATTCTTCGTAGTAATTTTGCCATATTTCAGTACTTACCTCGCAAGAATAACAACCATAACAATTTATCTGAATGAGTGTTTAAAGTTATTAAAAAGTCATATTTTTTCAAATAGAAAGTTAGAAATTTATCTTTAATCAAAGTGGAGCTATGGCAAGTATTTGCTTAGATAAATGGAAGACCAATATTGTACAATTCTTGGCTATAAGGTCAATATAATGGCTACCAGGCCAATAATGTCTATTGGCCAATTTAAGGCCAAAGGGACTTAGCTACAGAGTATACTAAAGACAGGGATATGAGTTTAGCAGCTACAATTGTCTATTATGTGATTAACCAAGGCCCTCATTCTAAAGGAACATAAAGGGTGAGATAGTTTTATCTTGCTGAAATTAAATTACCAGGTTTTGGCAAATTATTAGGAATGATGGATAAAGGAAAATGTATTATCTAACTTGAAGAGATTGAGATTGGATGAGTAGGATGATGAAGATGTCATTATTAAGGGAAACTGAAAGCAATATCTTTAATTTCTAAAATGAAATCTAGTAATATTTTCTTCTAATTATTTCTTCTAATTATAACATTTCATTGATTTTAAGAAATTGTCTAAAATCTGTAACATGCCATATAAGAACCTTTATACTCTGGGGCTCTGCTTACCTCCTTTGTACTTACAGTGAGCTAAGCACTGCAGTAGGTATTGAAGACAAAGAGAAAAGTAAAGACAGCCTGCACAAAACTTAGGGTTCAGTCATTCATCCTGTGAATATACATTGAGCGCTTACAGAATGACAGTTATTTACTAGGCAGTGGGAATACAGCAGTGAGCTAAGGCTAAGGTTCTCTGCTGTATTCCCAGTGCCTACCAGAGAGTAGAAGAAAATGCCTAGCACTGTCTAGCAGTGAGAAAAAAGATATAGATCCTGCCTTCATGAATATTACATTTTCCTGAGGTATGTCCTAACCTAAAGGTCTGCAGACCCTGGACCACAGACCTATACTGGTCCTTGGCCTGTTAGGAACTGGGCCTCACAGCAGGAGGTGAGGGGCGGGTAAGCCAGTGAAGCTTCATCTGTATTTATAGCCACTCCTCATTGCTCACATTACTGCCTGAGCTCCATCTCCTGTAAGATCAGCAGCAGCATTAGATTCTCTTAAGAGTGTGAACCCTATTGTGAACTGCGCATGTGAGGGACCTAGGTTGTGCTCCTTATAAGAATCCAATGCCTGATGATCTGTCACTATCTCCCATCACCCCCAGATGGGACCATCTAGTTGCAGGAAAACAAGCTGAGGGCGAGGACTCCCACTGATTCTACATTATAGTGAGTTAGATAATTATTTCATAATATATTTCAATGTAATAATAATAGAAATAAAGTACCCAATAAATGTAATGTGTTTAAATCATCCTGAAACCATCCCCTCTCCCAGTCTGTGGAAAATGTCTTCCACAAAACTGGTCCCTGGGGCCAAAAAGGTTGGGGAGTGCTGTTCTAACCAAATAAACAGGTAGGTGTGTATTTATGTCAGGTGCTAATAAATTCAAGATGAAAATTGAAACAGGCTAAGAGTTGAGCTTTTCAACTCATGTACCACAAATAGTTTATAGATATGCCATAATATATCGATCACTACACCCATCAGCAGTAGCCAACTAGTGTAGCTTCAAGTTGCTAGGGCCCATAATTAGATAGCCTTGGTCATAAGAAATTTGATAAGGGCTTCTTAGAGAATGGCCTGTGTGTTCAGTTCAAAGTATAGCCCATTGTGGGTGGGAAAGCAAGGAGGTTGGGCAGGAACTGCTAGTGGGTATAGCTCCAG